ACACACAGACGCACACCACACACAGAAGCACACCACACACAGAAGCGCACACACACACACACACACACACACACACACACACACACACACACACACACACACAGACGCACACACACAGACGCACACAAATACGCACACACACAGCCACGCACACAGACAGACGCACACAGACACACGCACACAGACAGACGCACACAGACAGACGCACACAGACAGACGCACGCAGACAGACGCACGCAGACAGACGCATACAGACATACGCACACAAACAGACGCACACACACAGACGCACACACACACACGCACACAGACAGACGCCACGACAAAACACAGACAGACGCACACAGACAGACGCACACAGACAGACGCATACAGACAGACGCACACAGACAGACGCACACAGACACAGACACAACCACAAACACACACACACACACACACACACACACACACACACACACACACAAACACACACACACACACACACACACACACACACAGACAGACGCACACACACACGCACACACTCAGACCGCGCGCGCGCACACACACACACACACACACACACACACACACACACACACACACACACACACACACACAGACGCACACACACACACACACACAGACGCACACACACAAACGCACACCACACACAGAAGCACACCACACACAGAAGCACACACACACACACACACACACACACACACACACACACACACAGACGCACACACACAGACGCACACAAATACGCACACACACAGCCACGCACACGCAAACGCACACACACGCACACACGCACGCACGCACGAGCCACTGTGTCCGTGAGAACAATATTATGAGAACACTGTCCGACATAGATATAATTCATAATTCATAATTATTTATTTGCATAGAATGTAGGTAGATATTACAATAGTATTATTAAATCATGAAAGTTCCTATACATTCTGCCTTGACGAGGCGTGCAAATTTTGACTAATTATATATAACAATTTTTTTCGATGAATTTAACTTATTTACAAATATCAAAATGTTCATATGTAAAAACAGTAAAATTAACTAACTAATAATTATTCTATAACTATCAAAGTCCAAAGCAAAAAAAATTCAAGCATTTTTGGATACAGTTTTTAAATATGTAATTTGTTTTGATTTTTGTGATCAAGATACTCATTAACAGTATAGAAACAATTAAGTAAAAGCAATTCATGAAGTTGGTTTTTTAACTTTGTCACTGGGAAATTTTTAAACTCGTCGGGTAAAGAGTTAAAGATTTTAATCGCCATTATATATGAATTTTTTTGGAAGAGCATCAATTTACACAGTTTTTAACTAACTAATAATTTCGGTAATGTGAATATATGTCCTAGATATTTACATAAAATGAAAAATGAGTTGAATATTACGGAGCATAAGATTACTGTAGGTCTTATGGTTAAGTTACGGTGAAGACGGCTGATTTGATTTCCACATCGGGATTAAAATTTTATGGCTTACTTGAAGAAAAATATTGTTTCGACTTGAGCTTTAAAAGAAAATCTTATTTTGTTAACTACGAGGGCGGCACTGAAAATTGCGAGAATCAAGGAAGTGACACAACATTACTATTTAAAAATGTATTTATTGCTTTTTGAAGTGTTCTCCGCGAAATTTGACACATTTTTCCATACGATGGAACCAATCATTGAAGCAACCATTCCATTCGGAAGTTGGGGTCTCCAAAATGGCCGTTTTGTAGGCGTCCACAGCTTCTTCAGGTGATGAAAATCTCTGTCCACGTAATTTATTCTTTATTTTAGGGAAAGTATAGAAATCATTAGGGCTTAGGTCGGGGCTGTACGGCGGATGGTCTAATAATTCTATGTTTTCTTGCTCTAAAAACTCTTTTGTTCTGTATGCGGTGTGAGAACTCGCATTGTCGTGATGGAGGATGATGCGGCGGTTGCAGTTCTCTCTACGGAGTTCAGAAACGACCTGTGGCAAACAAATACTAGCGTACCATTCTGCATTAACCGATCTTTGTCCCTCAAGAGGAATAGTCGTAACATCGCCGGTTTTGGAGACAAACGTGGCCACCATTTTTTTTGCAACACTCCGTGAACGAACAATTTCTGTTGCAAATCCCAAACTCGTGACTGGTTTTTTGTTTCGGGTTCTTACGCGTATATCCAGGATTCGTCACCTGATACGATGTTGTATACAGCATTTGAGGATCCTGCGTGGAATCTTTCGAGAGTTCTGACGCACCAAATAACGCGAGCCGCTTTTTTGCTCTTCACAGAGCGAATGCGGTATCCATCGGGAAATTAACTTTTTTACACCTAATTGTTCATGCAAGATTATTTGTATTAGACTCATGCCAATGTCTAAAGTTGCCTGAATTTCGCGGTATGTCACATGTCGATCTTCCTCAATCAGCTTACGCACAGCATCAACGTTTTCTTGAGTGAGTGCAGTTTTTGGACGACCTTGACGAAGATCATCACTGAGCTTGACACGTCCACGTTGAAATTCAGCAAACCAGCGATAAATTGCGGTTTTGGATGGGGCTTCACCTCCAAATGCAGAAATCATCCGGTCATCACACTGTTTTTGTGTTAAACCACTTCGAAAGTCATAATAAATCATCGCTCTTGAATTTTCTTAAGTCAATTCCAT